ACTGCTGCGGGAGCGCGCGGAGGCCGGCGGCGGCGTGGCGTACTCCACCAGCCCGTCGGTCCCCAGGCGGGGCAGCTGTCTCCGCGCCAGGCGCGCCTGCACGGCCGCCATGACGCCGTCCCCATCCCGTCCCAGCTCCACACTGTCCACGGCCGACACCAGCGGCTGCAGCCGACCCGGACCCATGGACTGGGCCAGCACCGCGAAGGCTTCCAACGCGGCCTGCCGGACTCTCGGCTTGGAGTCGGCTAACGTCGGAGCCACGATCTCACACAGAGCGCCCAGGTCAAACTCGTAGGTGGGAAAAGTCAACAAGGACGCGATGATGACGTTTAGTGTCTCCTCCCGAACACGGGAGTTTTTATGGTCCAGGCCTTCGTACAGGTGACTGAGGATGGGCTTTGGACTCAGGATGTTCATCAGCTGCATCAGAACGCGCAGGTTTTCCTGTTTGATCACGAATTTTAAGTCGCCCAGCCGCTTTGTGAGTGCCGACACAATGGGCTTTAAGTAAGGTTTCACACCAAGGTTCAGCTTGTCCACCAACAACCCGAAAATTTCCAGCGTCACGGTGGTGATTTTAAAGTTGACGTCATCCAGCAGGTTACAGAGAAAGCTGATGAAGGGCAGCAGCTGAGGTAACAAGGGTGTCGCGTCTCGTAGACTGGCCATGATGTTTTTCAACTGTTCGATTCCCTGTGCACGAATGCGCCAATCATCCTGGTCGACCAACTGTTGCATGACGTGAGAAGGGATGATGCCAAACTCATACGGCCCGTCATCGTGAGACACCAGTCTGTGTGCAACCATCGGTCTCACATGGTTGGTCTCACGCGCGGAGGTTTGGTATCTCTCGGGAAAGTCCTTGTTGAAATGTCCGCTGGAATTCAGGTCCACTTCTCTCCCCTCCCTGCTAGGAGAATCGAACTTGGCAGACTTGACAGAATCGTGCTTTGGCGTGTCATAGCCATTACGTTCAGTGTCATATGCATTGTAGTAGGCTTGTTGTAGATTAGATGGGAATTTGGAGACCCACATCTCAAACTTGTTGTCTCCCACTAACGATCGTATTCTGTCCATGGAGTAAAGAATCTTCTTGGGATCTTCGTCTGGTCTACCTTGAAGCTTCCTGGCCAAGGCGAGAGTCAATGGAAACAAATCTTCCTTAGCAAACTCTGGAGTCAGCATCATGGGCAGAGCCACGACAGTTTCTCTCCCGATCCGCGGATCCTCGTTTTCCAACCCGTGTTTCACGAGCGCGTTGAAAATGAGCTTTCGGTCCATCGAATGCTTCAGGTAGAGATGAACAGTCTGAATAGCAGACTTCTTTATGGCCACCTTCGTGTCGCCGATGTTGAACACGATGTTTGGCAGGACGGCCGCCATGCCGGTATCCAGCCCCGGCCCGAAGCCCGGGATCATCTCGGAGATGAGCTGGATGCACTGGTGCCGCACGTTCCAGTTGGAGTCCTGGAGCAGGTTGGCCAGGCCGTTGAACAGAGCCTGCCTGTTGTGGAACACCAGCCGCCCTCCATTCTTGCGCACAACCCCGCGTAGGTAGTCGAGCGCCTGCGTACGTTTCGCGAAACTTTCATCATCCAACAAGTTGAGGACAAGGTCCTCCTCCTCCATGCTAGTCTGTCTCACCACAAACTCATCGTGTAAGTTAGCATAGGGAGCGAACTTGGCGACGGTGCCAGCCATCAAAACAAGCTTCCCTCCACATCACCCAGGAGCAGATCACAGGGAGTACTGCCCACCTGTGATGGTCACATCTTTTGGTCCAGGATGGATCAGGAGGAGCAGACTTCACATCTGTCTTGGAAATTTCCTGAAAAATGGGAGAAAGACAGCCAAATATTACTATTATTAGTCTTCAACGTTCAAGCTAGAACTTTCACCTGAAATCTGGCCATTTTGTAACTCTATTTTTGACTGAAACGTTCCCTGTAACAAAGAAATCGTTGTTGGAACGTTTATATGTCAAGCAATGTGAATAATAGCTCGTTAAGTCCCTAAATAGGTCGGTAGATTTGTTGCTACTTTCTAACTAAAGCTTCGCCCCAGGGCATGAATGGTGTCATTAGGTCCGTGGCGATGGCCTAACAACCGATGACCTCCCATCCCACCAACAATCGCCTACAATGATTGTAATTAAACTGCAAATTAGACAGTAATCCTTGGAATTCATTCAGCCGACTCTATAAACTGTTCCTACCCTCTATAACTGAAGATCGTGAGGCCTGCCACTCATAACTCTTCAATCATGTATGTTGTGTACAGAAAACTTGGCAACCGTACCAGCCGTCAAACCGCGGTCCGCCTTCCACACCACCTGTCAGATCTCTTACAGTCGAATGTGTCGCCCTATTTTCGATCCGCCTACAAAGATAGCTGCATCTGGCACCCGATGGCCACCCGTCTGTAGACCATCGACGTCTATTTCGGTCGCTGGAAGCAAGAAGTCTTCCGATGCGCGGAGAAACATGAAAAGTTGATTACCAAGATGGCGACATCGCCTTCATGAATATCCAATGAGGTAAGGCCGGGTCATACAAGACCCCCTAAGTCCGTAGTACAGGATTTTGAAAAGTTGAACCCTAGCGGACTGAGCCAGTATTACAACTGGCCTAGGGAACCACACCCTCAAGAGAAGAAAATTATTGAGAAGTTTATTGCAAATTCATGCCCGGAGGCTAATTTCAAATTACAAACATAAAAGAACATTGAAACAGAGTATAAAATAAGTAAAGTTTACATGATGAAAGGTAGCTGTATAGAACTATAACTATGGTCTAAAACTATGTCTGAAGGGTTTAACTTCTCTTCTGTAAACCAATATTATAAAATGAAACAGACTCGTCATCGTCATCATATGGAAAGTAAATTGCTACTACAAGATTTAAGCCTGTGTGGCTAAATTTTTGTAAGACCCCCTTGCCATGGAGCTATAATTATAGCTCCATGGTTTAGGCAAGGACGTCTTACAAAAATTAATGCACATGTGTATTATAGCTCCATGCCTAAACTAAAGTTTGCCTAAAGTTATTGAAGAAGTGAATCCATGGGTGTTTCAGATGGTTTACTTTCAGCTCTTCCATCAAAAATATCTTGCTAGTTTGTTTTTTTGGCTGTAGTTGCTAGTAGATGCACAGATGGGTCAGAGGGGTGTAATGTTATGTACATCCTGGGTCACAAAGAACTAAATCAGAGATAAGGCCACACCAATTTAATTTCTTGGTTAACGGATTTTTCTAGAAAAATAATGGAGCGGGCGGGCGAAAAAAAAAATAAAAATAAAAACAAGCCTAGGCATCGTATTATGGCCCAAAATGGTACGATAGGAGCCATGAAGTCAACACACCAGGCTGGTTCAAAATTTAAACAATGAAGTTTGAACTTTTAATGATACCATTGCATTGAAAGATGGAATAACTGTAACAATTAGGATGAAAAGGTCTGTTTTCAACTGTTCAGGGCAAAATATGAGCATTTTGCAGTTGATTCTGGATGTTTATTTTTATTTGTAAATCTGAAAAAAATGAAGCGGCGAATCCGTTAACCAAGAAATTAAATTGGTGTGGCCTAAATCAAAATCATAAATAAATAAAATAATGGTCATGTAATAAATAAATGAAACAATAACCATCATGTAATAAAAAGATGACAATCATGTAATAAATACATGAAATGATAGTCATGTAATGAATAAATAAAATATCATGTAATAAATAAATGAAATATTAATTATGTAATAAAAAATAAGATAATAATCATGCAATAAATACATGAAATGATAATCAATGTTTAAACAATTAAGATAATAATCATGTAATAAATGAATACTAGTAAAATGAATAAATTAACGTCATTGTTGTAAGTAAATTCTTCACCATTTCATTTAGTAAGGCCATGTTGATTTGATTACATGGATGACATCCGCGCGCGCATGAATTTTCGGCCGTTTCCAAAAAAAAAAAGTTTTCAACCATACTGTAAATCGTACAAAACAGTTGCAAAATGAGCAAAAATATACCATAAGTTACAAAAAAATTAATAAAAACTACACCAATGTCGTAGAATGCCAAAATCAAACAAAAAAGACGAAATTGTAAAGAAATGAACTTGAAGACTAGATTATTCACCAAACCATATTCTGTGCCATTTGCTCAACCCTCATGACCACGTAGATTTCATAATGAAAAGAACTTTTTTTTGTCAAAACTTTTTTTTTAATTTTCGCACGCGCGCATCTAGTTTTGGGGTCGTCACGGACGATGTCATCCATATAATC